CTCCTAAAATCTCTCTCCACCCCTAACCATCATATCTTCTCCTTATACTCCAAATTAAGTAATTGCTGGCGCTACGTGCCTAAATCACTTCCAATTTTAGCCTCAGTATGCTCTTCTCTGTCACCCATGGTCTGTCACATTTACAAATCACACTCTAGATTACCTTTATTTGACTGTCCTCTAGTGGCTCTTACAATAACTCCTATAGTGTATACTTCAACGTGTTTCCTCGGCTTCCCTCCTTCAATCCTCCGTTCTCTTCCTGCAACTTCCGTTAATAATCTCTTCAAAGATTATATCTCAGCTAATTTTCCGACTAAATGCTTGATATTCACAGATGGTTCTGTATCAACTAACTCGGCTGGTTGTTCTTTCTTTATTCCTGAACTTAATATTTCATACTCAGCTGCACTCCACCCTTCTTCTTCTTCTTTTACCNGCCCATCTTCTTCTTCTTTTACCACTGAATGCCTTGCCATCGTTAATGCTCTCATTTTTATATCTTCTACTTCAATTAATGAATTTGCTATTTTTTCTGATTCTCTATCTTGCCTACTTGCCCTCACTTCTAATCCATTTTGCTCTCATCTTTCTCCTTGCATTCTTATTATTAGATCACTTATCTCCTTAATTCGATCCCAAATCGATATTAGGTTTTATATTAGTCAATATTAGGTAACGAAACAGCTGACCGTCTTGCTACTTCTACTTCCCCCTTCTTTACTTCTTCTAGCCATAATATTTACGCTTTTGACTTTCTCCGCCTCTTTCGACATACAGTTCTTCAAGCCTGGCAGGACAGTTGGGCTACAATAAAATTGAAAACGGTATGTTGGTACCGCTCGATTTCTCCATCCATTATACATTCTCCATGGTTTCATAACCTTGACTTATCCAGAAATATAATTTCTCAGTACTCAAGACTTAGGTTAGGTCATAATCATCTGCCTTATCATGCATTTCATCTTTTCTTAAATTCCGTTCCCTTCTGTCCCCTACATGATAGTGAAGCACTATGCGATTTTTCTCATCTTCTCTTTGATTGTCCTGCCCTAATTAACAGCAGAAATAAACTTTTCAGCCTCTTAGCCTCCCACAATATTAATCCACCTTCCGTAGCTAATACTCTTAATTCCCGTTCTTCCTTTATTATTATTTCAATCATATCTTTCTTGAGGAGTTCCGGTTTTGTCATTTAATCTCTCATTATTTTATTTTATATTCTTCTATTTACTTATTTATTTACTTTCTCTCATCCTCCATTATTTCAAATAAAAATTTTAATTTAGTAATTCTTTTAGTTGTACCTTGAAATTTCTATTAACAATAATTTTAATAATATTTATTTTTTCTTTATTTTTGAGTATACAAACAATTATTGTCATATTTGTTATACCATTATAACATAGCACTGTTACTGTTATACTTCTAATTCACTTATTTTTAGCTTCGATGCGAAGCTGAAAAGGTATTGGTTTTACTAAGATGTGTTTTTTTTTTTTTTTTTTGTGTCTGTTACCACTTTTTCTCAGCTCTCACTATATCGATTTCTTTCAATGATACGTCAAAAGATCACAAATCGTATCTAGTTGAAGAAATTACCCTCAAAAATTGAAAAAAATTCCCTCGTTTCCCGTAAATGAGGGAAATCTCCAAAAAAATTACAAATTTAAAAATCGCTAATTTTTTCAATTTTATTTACTTAAAATTACCATAACTTTTTTTAAAATGAACAAATCAATATAATTCTTTTTTATATAGATGCATAATATCATTATCTTTTATTTGGTATATTTTTTTCATAAATTTAACCCTTAACCTGCCCACAAGGGGGGATTTAAAATGACAACTTTTTCAACTTAATTTTTTGAAGTGTTCCGGAAAGTCTGACACTTTTATACATATCTTAAATTAAAGCTAATGTAATGTACTTTATTATGCAAAAAAAAAATTTCGGGCTTTATTTTATCTTCACGGTGAAAATGGCTACCAAATGCTATTTTTGTGTGAAAATTTTCGATTTTGTATTTTACATTTTTAACTTTATTATGCTATAACTTTTTGAAAAATGTATAGATCAGTACAATTTTTTCATGAGGAGTAGTATTTATATACATCTTTCATTTGTCATACTGTTTTTTTAAATCGGACCATTTCTCTATATACGAGGGGGGTGCAAATCTAAAAAATGCATGTAGATAGTAGAACTTTTTCAACTTAACTTTTGAAAGTGTTCCGGAAAGTCTGACACTTTTATACATATCTTAAATTAAAGCTTATGTAATGTACTTTATTATGCAAAGAAAAAAAATTTCGGACTTTATTATATCTTCATGGTGAAAACAGACATCAACGTTTATAAAAAAAATACGATTTTTGTAAAAAAATTCTTTTTTATATTTTTAACTTTATAATGCTATAACATTTTAAAAAATGTATGGATCAATATAATTTTTTTTTTATAGATGCATAATGTCTTTACCTATCAGTTGGTATAATTTTTATAAATCTGACTTTTTACCTGCCCACAAGAGGGGATTCAAAATGACAACTTTTTCACAAAAAATTAACTTTTTCAACTTAATTTTTTGAAGTGTTCCGGAAAGTCTGACACTTTTATACATATCTTAAATTAAAGCTAATGTAATGTACTTTATAATGCAAAAAAAAAATTTCGGACTTTATTTTGTCTTCATGGTGAAAATAGCTACCGAATGCTATTATTGTGTGAAAATTCTCGATTTTATTTTTTACATTTTTAACTTTATAATGCTATGACATATTGAAAAGTGTATGGATCAACATTATTTTTTTATGAGAAATAATATTTTTTAATAATCCCTTNCTTTATGAGAAATAATATTTTGTAATAATCCCTTTTTCATACGACATACTTTATCTGAATCAGGATATTAATAACGAACTAGCAGATCATGTTGCTTTTGGTATAAACCACCAATTTTTTAAAATTAAACACTATCTAAAGATTTGCATCGAAGAGTTTTTTTTGATAGTGATTTTAATCATTGTCAGATATCATAATACTTGATCCAACTATGCCGCGATCCCCCTGTGCTGGGTTTTTTTTTTCTCTTTGTTTATAATTGTTGAGCTGAATATTATTTTAATAAAGGCTATTTAAAAAAAATATATATATATATTATATTTGTCTTAAAAATCCTTAAGCTTGCAAAGTTATTTTAAATAAAATTATAATCATAAATGCTACTACAATATATTTGAGAAAGTCATGTTTATAATCACAAACTTTTACGTAAATATGTTATTTTAAGCTTATTCCTCAATTTATGATTGCATATTTACAATGATTAAAATTAAAACATTTGAATGAAACCAGGCTATGACTAATAGTGCAGTTTAAAATTATATGCACAGTTGGTAAATTTATTGTAACATTTGTAAAAAAATTTTGAGTCTCAGAAAAAGACTAAAATAGTAAATAAAAACAAGCTACAAAAATACTTCTTAAAAATTGTATTACTTTGACTATAACTATTAACTTCGATTGTCGTATGAATTTAGTAAAAGGGGACTGCGTCCTAAAATCCCCCTATATACGCCACTGAGGTTTATAATTCTTTGAATTTTTTTTCTAAATTATTAATTCTGTTGATGCTCCACAAAATGGGGTGTTAATGCCCATTTATATTTTTAGTTTTTTCCTCAAGTGCTAATATAGTTACATATTAGCTTAGATGCGAAGCTAAGAAGTTATTAAATTTAACATGATGTGATTATTTTTTTATTTTTTTTTTTTTTGAGTGTCTGTTACCACTTTTTCTCAGCTCTCACCGAAATGATTTCTTTCAACAATACGTCAAAATATCACAAATCGTATCTAGTCAAAGATACTTTTTACTTAAAACTACCATAACTTTATATAAAATGACCAAATCAATATAATTTTTTTTTTATAGATGCATAATGTCAAAAGATCACAAATCGAATCTAGTATCTATAAATATAATGTATAAATAAAAGTGGTGATTATTTTAAACGAAAAAATAATAAAATACTATTATTGTGGACATAAAGAAGCCTAGTTTTAATCCATGTGAATAATAGCGACGAATATATTACAACAGATGTGCCTAGATGCTGATTTTATTTATTGTTCATTTGTATTGTAAATAAATTCATTTAAAATACAAATGAACAATAAATAACAAATAAAAAAATAACACAATCGGGCGGTCTATTAATAGCAATAATTTTAGTAGTTTTGTGCGAAAAATTAAAATTTATAATTTATAAATTATTAATTTATGACAATTTTTCACTTTTTTTTCTTAAAATTATAGTAACTGTTTCAAAAATTAACAAATGAACATTAATAATAATAATAATTTTGATATTGAACTTTAGATATTTTCCTTTCATTTGATATCATTTTTTGAAAATCTGCTCACAAGGGGGATTTAAAATAGCAACATTGAGTTCTTACAAAAATCTACTTTTTCAACTTAACTTTTGAAAATGTTCCAGAAATACTGAGTCCTATAAACATATATCAAATTAAAGCTCATGTCATGTACTATAAATAAAAAAAAAATATCCCGACGACTTATTTTTATGTGAAAATAGCTGCCGTAGTTAAAAACTTGCTATTTTTGTATTATAATTTTCATTTTTCTATTTTATATTTTCAACATTAGATTGCTATAACTTTTCGAAAAATCTATGTATAAACACAAATTTTTTTGTAAAGTTTGAGTTTTTTTTCTAGCTTAGAATACATGATTTCATACCTTAGAATATCTCGTTTTTATTCATTTTAAGAAAGTAATAAATTTAAAATTAAATATAAATATATTTTTTTATATCTGTTTTAAAACCATCACCTAAATTTAGAATTTCTTTTCAAAAATATATAAATATGTATGAGGCATTTTTATTTAAAATACAGTTAATCAGGTATCTAAATAATCATTTTACTATATTATTATTTACGCATTAGAAAGTTCAACATTTTTGAATAAAAAATTTTTTAACTAATGAAAAAATGGTAAGTATATCCGTAGGTTCGTTTTTTATTATAGAAATGGCTAAAATTTCGTAGATGAATTGATAATTAGAGTGACACATATTTAATTGGGTAAATATATTTGTCCCAATAAATACCCCTCTTTTTAATTTTATAAGTTATGACTTTCTATTAATAACAGAAAAAATATGACTGATAACTATACATCAGTCTATTTGACTGATAAAAATTAACTTATATACATAAAAAAAAACTTTTAAATATTTTTTCAGAAAACAGTTATTTCATTATCAGCAATATTAGTGTATTTTTTAATACATGTAGCAGGTAATAAGAAATTTTTTATTTTCTATTTATTATGATCAAATTGGGACTACATTAATTAAGATAATTTTTGTTCAGTATAAATTTTAAATAACCAATATTTCTTTTATTTGACTTTAAAATTTACTTGTTAGATCATGAAACAATAATACGATTTCTACTTCTTAAAAAACAGTACATTTAATTTTTAAAATAAATTCTTATTATTATTGTTATTTTTTATTAGAAGTTTCTTCAAAAGAGCGTAAGTAATAGTTCTAATACAGTTTTCTCTTTATAAATATAATTAACTTTTCACAATGCAATCTTATTTATACTTAGATTTATAATTTAAAAAGTTCCTATTATTTCAAAACCTATAGTGCTTCTGATTTGACTATTAATCTATGAAAAATACTTTTTCAAAAAAATTCAAACTTATTCTATAAGATGATTCTTTTAATACTCCTCGATTTCTCTTAAAATTATCATATTTGTGTTAATTTTGTTTTGTCTTCTGTTAATTATATGTATCCTGTGATTTTCCTGTTATAAAATATTTTTTAAGTTTATCCCTCATATCTTATAAGGGTATGAACTTTTTTTTCAAAGGGCCACATATATGTTAAAATACCTTATAAAATAGAAAATTATCTAATTAAGATAATGACTAATTCTATAACAAATTTTATACCAGTATTTCAGAAGTTTTTAACATTTTTATACCTAAGCGTGACGAGGAGTGATCCAGGATATGTCTAGTGATAAAAATAACAGTACCTACACCTCACCTCTAATCATTATTTTAAATTGTCTATAATTTTTTAAATACTGGTTCAAAGTTTGTTATCGATCAATCATTTCTTTAATTATATAATTGTATAAGCTAGTTAAATATGTATGAAAAAATTAGTGGCTATGATTAAAAGAAACACCAAGTATTTTACATATCCACAATTAAGTTCAAAACTAAACTAAATATATTTTTTGTAAACTTTAACATTAAACTTATTAATTGTTTACTCCAATTTTAATTGAAATCATAACCAATAATTTTGTTTAAATTTCATCACCAACTAATATAATTAATTAATTTATCAAATACCTATTTGATAAAAAGTCATAAAAAAAATTCATAAGATGGTTTTAAGATTTTTGAATGAACAAATGTTAAATTATAAGCAAAATCATTAAAGATACATTTAAACAAAATGAAAATGAATTTTGTTGTGAACCACTTTTAAACTTTAAACGCAAACATATTAAACTCATAAACAACAGTTCTCTGCGTATTAACCATCATTATTTATTAAAATATAATATTTTACTAACCAATAAATTAAACTTAAATGATAAATTCCGATACGTCAATATGATTTTTTTAAAATACACGTTAGTCTTACACACAGGTAGTGAAGTTTTTATCTTAAGTTTCGAAAATTCGTACACAAATACAACATTTTTATTCAAATTTACCCTTTAAAAATTTAATACACGTATATAAAAATTTAGTAATTTTTTTAAGTGTGAAGTTTGGTTGGTAAAAAAAGCTTATGACATACCAACTAATACGTGATTACTATTTATAAATAATTTGTTAAAATGAGCAAGTAAATATATAATGTTTATTGTTAGATATAAAATTTAATGAAATTTTATTTTTATAAGTGTATATAATTTATAAATTAATTGTTTTTGTTATTCGTTTTAATGTAATTTATGCATTTTTATTGCATAAAAAAATAAAGTTATCTAATAACTTTTAAATTTTTTGCATCTTAATTAATGACTATTTAATAATTATAAATATTTTTTGAACACCTAAATAAACATTAATAAGCCTAGTGATAAACCGTATACAAATTTATGAGTTACACTAATGTAAAACTATTTTCTAACTTTAAGTTAGAGGGAGGCACGAAATTTATAAAAAATCGAGTGACTAATCAATTTGTATAAGATTTTCATGGGATATACAATGACGATGTTTATTTTTTATTTAAATATAATTTGAAATGGGGAAACTAGAAAAATCCTAATTTTGGAGCTTGGAAATTTTAGTTTCTACTATTTTTAGTTCCTACTTAATAATATTAACACGGTCCCCGTATCGCTTCGTGATACACGTTGCCCCGCGACTCGTGTCACCTTCATCTGCCGTTGCCCTAATATAAGTACATTTGTTTGACTGACCAATACCGCGTGTCATACGCCACGGTGCAAAGTCCAACAAGTGCCGTACGGCAGACGACGACCCACCGCAAACGATTCGTTGAGTCCTCTTCCTGTTGTCAAAGTAACAACGTCGAGGAAGTACACCAACGGCTCCGGACGTGCCGCACGACCGTACTCGATGAACAGAAATGCACCCGCGCACCGTCGCTATCAACGCTGCTAACTTTTCGATGCCTAAGGATCATGTCGGACAACGCGTCTTCATCGAAAATGCTGCAATATTATGTAAAAAATATTATTAATTGTGTTCGTTTTTTCGGTTTGTTTGTTTTTTTTTTTTTAATAATTTGTTGTGCTTATTAAATAACGGGTCTCTACCCTCAAAACCAGTGTTGACTAAATTATTGCGACGTAAGTCTTATGTATTTGAACAGGTTATTTTCAGAATTGTTATCGCCGCTCGGTGGTATCTTTTGTTAATTAAATCAGTTGTATACTAGACACACATGTGATGACTTATTCCAGTCACTTCTGCCCGAATATATAAAAGATGACGAGTGGATTTTTTTTGTGCTGTGTTTAAAATTTCAAATTAAACAAATACTATGTCAGGTATAACAAACTTTCTTTCTGCATTTCTGAGCCAGAGCGGGAGCTGTTTAAAAAGTATTTGAGTTTGGGAATCATTAGAAATTGATTTACCGTCACATTTAGGTTTTTTGTGTAAAGGGCTAGTTGGTGATTTAGAACGTTGATTGCTATTACCAGAATAACGCAAATTATCAGTGGAGATTTGTGGATTGGAAGTTTACAAAGTGCTTCTACGGCGCAGTAGAGAGTGGTGCTGATCACCTCCTCCCGGATTAGTCCTGGATTGCATCAAAAGCCCCGATGACCACCGTAAATGTGCCGAATAAGCGAAATAATAGTTTCAAAGCTGGTAAAACACTAAATAAACAGAATAGTACTTTAAAAATAGGCGGGTAACTACAAACGTATACGAGATAAACACGTCCGTGCAATACGACCGATAAATCGTAACAAGTAAAAAGTGGTTAATTGACAAAATAGTAAAAGTATTAGAAATATGTTTATATTTAGTTGAAGGGGGCAAATATAAAATTAAGCACAGTTAGCTCAAGGACTCTTACATAGAGTAGAAATATAAAATAAAATGTTAAAAAAATTAATAATAAAAATAATAGTTATTACATTATATAGCTATACATATTAAATTAACATTAATTTATTATATATATTCTAAAATATGTTTTGTAATAACAATTATGCAATTAAATTTATGTTAATAAATTTCAAGATTTCACAAAAAAAAATTTAAAAACTTTTTTTAATATTTCATATTATTTAGATTCCCTGTAAATAGGGGATAGGAATACTTCCACGGCCCCTATACCAGTTGTATGAAGGCATTAATGAGGTTGTGTCAAGTCGACAGCCGGCATAAAATTTTTGTTAAAAAAGTATGAGGAGTCCTGAACAAAACTTTGGATTGTTCATCTGGGATATACGCGGGGACAACGGGTGGGAGGAAATAAAGTAGCTAAAGTCGGAGAAAGACTAAAGAATAAAGTATTCGATACCAGCCGGATAACTTGTGCGGTAGCTGTTTCACCAGTCATGTGTCAGGTCTATCTATTGCTTGTAGTGTCAACAGTGTAGGAACATCACCATTTAACTCTAGGTTGAACTCGTCTATAAGGGAGGAAAATAGATACAAATTAAGAATAGGTACTTGGAATTTTGAAACATTAACTTGTAGAAGTAAACAATCAGTAGATTTATTGAAGAGGAGAAAAGTGTACAGGACACTAAGTGAAAGGGAGAGAAAGCAAAAGAAATAGGTGAGGGTTATAGGTGATATAGATGATTAGGTGATGCAAGGAGTACCTGGAAATCAGGATGCGGTGATAGGTGGAGATATAAATGGGCATGTAAGCAATGAGAGGAGAGGATATGAAAAGGTATATGGGAAGTATGGTTTAAGTTGGAAGAATGAGACTGGAAAAACAATACTGGATTTCGCAGTTTCGTATTATCATACTGTGGTTAATAGATATTTTAGAAAGGAGGAAGAACATAATATAATTTAACAGAGTAGGAGTAATAGATCACAAATTGATTATTTTAAGGGAAAGAGAGGAAGTGTGGATCGAGTAAAATATTGTAAAGTTATACCGGGGTAGAGTTTAACTACACAATATAAATTGATGGTAATGGATTTGTGGTTTAGTGGTAAGAGAATATACAAAAACAGAAAAACGTAGGGGAAAAAACAGGATCCGGTGGTGGGCATTGAAAGGGGAACATGTTAAAGAGTTTTTAGAGACAGTAAATGAAAGGGCAGTGTGAAATGTCGTGGGAGAAATAAATGATGTGTGGAATAGATTTGCTAGTTGTGTAAAGAATAATGCAAAGAAGATTGATGGTGAGAGTAAGAGTAGAATACCAGAAAACAAGGAAACCTGGTGGTGTGATAGACCATTAAAAAAAATCATAGAATGAATGAAAAAGCAATTCAAAGTATGACAGATGAGCAAAAGGAACGAAGATTGGATAAAGTATACACGTATGTGGAAAGAAGCCAAGTGTGCAGTAAATAAGGCGAAGTTTAAGAGGTATGATGAGTTATATGATAGGCTATGTATAAAGGAAGGCGAGAAAAAGTCTATAGACTTCCAAAAGTAAAATCTTAAAGGTCAAAATAATATCATTATGTAAGGTATATAAAAAGTTTTGAATGATGATGAAAAAGAAGATGGAAAGAGTATTTTGAAAAATTACCGAATAAGGAATATTCAAGAGAGACATTAGAGGATATCTTGTGGAACAAGGGACTGATAAATTTAATTAGTGGGAAAGAGGTATGGGAGGCAGTGGCATTAATGGAAAAGAATAAATCAATAGGACCAATGAAAATGAGTATTCCATAAAACATGCGTTAGGTTTTTTCGTCTATACAATCCAACACAAACTCACAAAACTATGCCAGATGAGTCGCAGATTCAGCACCACGACACAACTTCAAACGCGTGTACGTACGTCCTAGGTGTCGATAGTGCCGGACACGACTACTTTGATTGTGGTAGCGACGAGAGAAGCATAAGCTGTGTGGAGCTTGACTGGGCTACACGCGTAACTTTTGAACATGAGGAAAAGGGTTTTATTTTTTTCATTGTTTATAACAATTGATATGTTTCTTGCTTACAAAAACTTTATAAAATTCTCTATGATAATATGAAACAAATTTCCTATTTTCTTTTTAAATTAATACATTTTTAAATTGTATCTTCTTTATAAAAGGTTCGAAAAAATAATTATGAGGTATATAATGTATTGTTTTATTTGAAACATTCATTAAATAATAAAATTTTGTCCGTATACTTAATAAAACAATAGAGTCCGTTCGCCGTTAAAGAGACGGTACGTGACAGTATTTAATATCATACTGACGCACGGAATTTTTTTCATTAATTATTCCTCATCTATAATTTGCCAGGTCCATCTATTTTTTTATGTGTATTAATTACTACAAATACTTTTCTCCTAATAAACCAATATTTTTCAACAAATACACCAAAAGATCACTCCTCTTTTCACAGTTTTTAGCTTCGATGCGAAGCTGAGAAGGTATTGGTTTTACTAAGATGTGTTTTTTTTTTTTTTTTTTT